TCGTCGATGTCACAGTGCAGATCTTCTCGGTCTAAGCCATATATGGAGAGGATGACACCTTCAAACCCATACCTAGGTGAAAAGGTCGGGCATGAGGGAGGACGCTCTCCCAGCCAGCCACACCATTGGCTGAAGGTCAAGGTTGTTCACCCTCCCTGCGCTTCCCAGCCCGCCTTTCCCTCCTTCCCAAAGAGCCAGCTTCCCCAGAATACTTCCTCCCCTCCCACCACCTTCTTAAGATAAACACACAACAGCTCTACTATGGTTTTTCTTCCAATTTTGTTTTCTCCAGGGGCCCCAGCAAAAAACCAAGTAGAATGAACAGGAGACATTCATTCACTGGTGAAATGCACTGAAAAATCTTTTGTCTACTTCCAAGGTTACATACTTTCTAATGGTCAGCTAGAACCTTGGGCAGGCCAACTTGCAAGGACTTGAGAGCATTTCTATGAAACATTCCTGCCCCTCTCTCCCTGTTCCAGCCTGCCCTGTCAGAACAAAAGCACTACTTTGGAGAAGAAAGACGTTGGTTTCTGATTTCCTGGTGTTGGAGCACACGCAGGTTGTTGAAACTCTGTACAAGTGCTTCGTTTTGATTCTGTTTTCCTCAACAATATACCTGGGTCTGAACTGCCATTCTAGAAAAGAAGAGCTCGTTCCCAACTTTGGATCTTTGTGTCATGTGGAACTTCTGCAGCTCGGAAGATGGGTGCTGCCCATGGTGGGGACAGTGTGCCAACACCCGGCTCTGCAGAGGGCATGAAACCCTGTAGCCAAGGACCCGAGGCACTGGGCATTCTCATTCAAAGATACTAGAATGTTTAGGATGTTTAAAAATTGCTTTTTTTTTTTTTAGATGAAATCACTTCTGTTGCCCAGGCTGGAGTGCAGTGGCACCATCTCAGCTCACTGAAACCTCCACCTCCTGGGTTCAAGGGATCCTCCTACCTCAGCCTCCTGAGTAGCTGGAATTAGTCATGGGCCACCATGCTCAGCTAATTGTTTTGTGTTTTTAGTGGAGACGAGGTTTCGCCATATTGGCCAGGCCGGTCTGGAACTCCTGACCTCAAGTGATCTGCCCACCTTGGCCTCCCAAAGTGCTGGGATTATAGGCGTGAGCCACCGCACCCAGCCCCCACCAGGTTTCCTATAAAGGTTTTACAGTCAGCACGTGTTAGGAGCACTGTTCACTTCGGAGAGGAAGAATGTCCTAAACCATGGAAGCATTTCCACTGAAGGCTGCTCTCCAAACGTCTGGAACATGAGGGCCTGCCATGGCTCTCAGGGTGTGAAGCGCTGGTTTCCGTGGCCTCCTTGATTAGTGTGTGTGTCTGTTGGTGAGGGTGGGAGCAGGTGGAACTAAGAGGAAGATGGAAGGCATGGATCCTCAGATGTGTGATTCATACTTGGCCAGATGTCCAGAGGGGCTTTTGTGAGCTCCTCGCACCATTGGAGACAGTTCTTCCCCATCACCCTTGGTCCCCATGCCACACGTGCCCTGCGCCCACTACCTGACATAGGAGATGTAGGACATCCACTGCAGGTATGTGGGGATGGTGTCGAAGCTCACGAAGAACCCTGAGAACAGGAGCACCGGGATGGCCGTCACCGGGCCCACGAAGGTGGCCACCTGGAGTTGGGGGACACAGGACAGCTGTAGCAGAACCCACAGGCTGGCCTCCTGCAGACGGGGGCTTGCCCACCCCAGCTTCCCCCAGGCAGGGCCAGGGCACCTTCTGGGCACGGTAATGAGGGTGCTGTATGGGGCAGAGGGTGCAGCATCCCTGAGGGGTGGGGTCACCATCTCTGAGGTCCCCCAGCTGCCCTGCTGTGACACAGGAGCCCCAGAGCCTCCTGCAGCCCAGGGTGAGCCGGGACCTGGTGGATGTCCCTAGGGCCAGAGAGATGGGGGCACACCCTCCTCAAGGGGCTGCCATCTGCTCCTCCACAGCTGTCTGTGGGGGGCTAAGGACCATGCCTGGCCCATGGCAGGTGTGTGGCAGGCATCCCCGAAGTCGGGGCCCAGTGGAAGGACTATAGCCTCTGCACGTGGGATGGGCGCCTACCTGTCAGCACCACCGGGAGAGTGGCCCAGAGATGAAACCAACAGCTGCGACTCAGGGTTCAGAGTGAGCACAGGTCCAGCCAGGGGCTGTGAGGGTGTGGGGGATAGGAGGGTGTGTGTGTGTGTGTGTGTGTAGTGTGTGTGGTGTGTATGGTTTCTGTAACGTGTGGTATGTGATGTGTTGTGTATGTAGTTTGCGTATAGTATGCAACGTTTGTAGTGTATAGAATATGCATGTGCAGTGAGTGGTGTGTATGTAGAGCATGTAGTGTGTACTGTGTGTGTGCATGTGCAGTGTCTGGAGTGTATTATGTGTTGTGTTTAAGTAGTATTTGTGTGTGGTGTGTGTATGTAGTGTATAGTGTGGTGTGTCTACAGTGTGTGTGTGGTATGTAATGTGTGGTTTGTAGTGTGGTTTGTGTGTAGTGTGTATGTGTGTGCAGTGTGTGGGGTATGGTATGTGGTATGTACTGTGTGCGCATGTAGCATTTGTGTGTGTGTAGTGTGTTGTGTGTAGTGTATACAGTACAGTGTGTGTGTACAGTGTGGTGTCTGTAGTGTATGGTGTATGTCGTGTGTAGGTGGTGTGTCTGCAGTGTGTGGTGTGTAGTGTGGGCAGTGTGTCTGCAGTGTGTGGTATGGTATGTGTGTAGTGTAGGGTGTGTGTGTGTACTGTGGTGTGTGTACTGTAGTGTGTAGGTGGTGTGTCTGCAGTGTGTGGTGTGTAGTGTGGTGTGTGTTTAGTGTGTGTGTGCATGTGCTGTATGCAGCTGTGCAGACAGGGGCATCCCAACCCTGCTCGGATCAGTGACCCCCATGGAGCCTGAGCGCCTTGGGCAGGAGGCCTGTGAGTGGCTAAGCAGGTGCTCCGGGGCTGGCTTTGGGGCATGTGAGTTGCCGTGGCTGGTGTGCGCCTGGCACCTTCCTGCAGTGTCATCTTTGGTCCCATGGCAGCCTTGTGAGATGGCTATCCTCACCCAGGGTGAGGGCACTGGGGCCCTAGGGGCCAGAAATCCAGCTCATGGTGGCCTGGAGGTAACCAGGAATAAACTGCACCCCGCTGGGAGCCTCAGGTGTTCCCAATCCACCCAGGAGTGCTGCTTTTGTCTGGAAGGACAGGCTCAGCCAGAGCGCCCTGAAGCCACAGAGGTGGAAAACCTGCAGGTGCATGTGGGTGGCAGGTCGGGGGACAGGGTGGGCAGTGGGAGAAGGAAGGGGCAGGGGGAGAGGCCAAGGAGACCCTGCAGAGGCAGCGATGCAGCTGTTGAGAGCTTGTGGCAGGCGGTCAGCACAGGTGAGAGCACCTGCTGCGCGCACCGCGGAAGCCCCCGGATCCTGACCACCCGACAATGCGGGCCCTTCCCACGGGACTGACCCCATCTAGGAGGTCAGGGCGGAGGTAGGGGAGGTGTGGCAGGGCCCCCTAGCTCAGGCCAAGGTGGCGCAGGGAAGCCCAGCCCTCAGCGTCCCCCGGGCTGGCACCTGCAGGGACGTGGAAGCAGCTCCGATCAGCAGGCCCAGGGACTGCGCCACCAGGGAAGTCATGGTGCCCAGCGCGGCAAACAGCACGAAGCGCACGGCGTCGGACGGCTGCGAGGTCATCCAGTACACGATGCTGCAGTAGGCCACCGGGAACATGATCTGGAAGCAAGGACCCGTCAGCCGCCCGCTCCGCCGCTTCCCACGCCCACGGGCCAACACCGCAGCTCCCGGGCAGCCAATCCTCCCGCAGCTTCTGCCAGGGCTCGGGAAGTCCGGTCCTTCCCCCCTGATCCCGCCAGGGCTCCGGAAGTCCGGTCCTTCCCTGGAGCTCCACTGGAGCTCCGGAAGTCAGGCTCTTCCCCCAGCTCCCGCCAGAGCTCCGGAAGTCAGCCTCTTCCCCCCAGCTCCCGCCAGAGCTCCGGAAGTCAGCCTCTTTCCCCCCAGCTCCCGCCAGAGCTCCGGAAGTCAGCCTCTTCCCCCCTGATCCCGCCAGAGCTCCGGAAGTCAGGCTCTTCCCCCCCAGCTCCCGCCAGAGCTCCGGAAGTCAGCCTCTTCCCCCCAGCTCCCGCCAGAGCTCCGGAAGTCAGGCTCTTCCCCCAGCTCCTGCCAGAGCTCCAGAAGTCAGGTCCTTCCCCACAGCTCCCGCCAGAGCTCCGGAAGTCAGGCTCTTCCCCCAGCTCCCGCCAGAGCTCCGGAAGTCAGCCTCTTCCCCCCAGCTCCCGCCAGAGCTCCGGAAGTCAGCCTCTTCCCCCCAGCTCCCGCCAGAGCTCCGGAAGTCAAGCCTCTTCCCTCCAGCTCCCGCCAGAGCTCCAGAAGTCAGGTCCTTCCCCCCAGCTCCCGCCAGAGCTCCGGAAGTCAGGCTCTTCCCCTAGCTCCCGCCAGAGCTCCAGAAGTCAGGCTCTTCCCCCAGCTCCTGCCAGAGCTCCGAAAGTCAGGTCCTTTCCCGCAGCTCCACTGGAGCTCCGGAAGTCAGGCTCTTCCCCCTCAGCTCCCGCCAGAGCTCCGGAAGTCAAGATCTTCCCCCCAGCTCCCGCCAGAGCTCCGGAAGTCAGGCTCTTCCCCCCAGCTCCCGCCAGAGCTCCGGAAGTCCGGTCCTTCCCCCCAGCTCCCGCCAGAGCTCCGGAAGTCAAGATCTTCCCCCCAGCTCCCACCAGAGCTCCGGAAGTCCGGTCCTTCCCCCCTGCTCCCGCCAGAGCTCCGGAAGTCAGGCTCTTCCCCCCAGCTCCCGCCAGAGCTCCGGAAGTCGGGTCCTTCCCCACGCTACCCTGCATCCTCGGCAGGCTCTCCTACTCGATATAAAGAGTGTGCAGGAGAACTCCTGCCGCCGTTTCCAATTCCAGCCCCCCTGGGCTAACACACCTGAAAGGGCACGTCCGCCATGGTCTTGGCTAGGTAATAGGCCTTCAGGCTGTACCAGTAGTTCAGGTGTTCCCGAAGAAAGACTCCCATCTCCAGAGGAACTAGGAGATAGAAAAGCGAAAAAGAAGGGTCAGCGGCCAGGCGCGGCGAGCCTGTTCAACATCCCAACAGGCGATCTTGAGCCGGGCAGCTCCTAACCCAGTTCTGGCCGCAGCGCCGAGAGACTGAACAAACAGGGCACATGTTTTACTATCCTGGAAAACTCGCCACCTGTGCGTATAACCTGAAGAATCATCAAGTGGAGAATCAGTGGGGAGCAGGTCTGTGAATACAAAGCGCCATCTTAGTGATGAATGTGAGGATTCACGCCTGGCCTGACTCTTCCTGAGTCTGCCTCTTCTGAAACTGCATCAGTGTGGTCCCTTCCCGTGAGCAAGGCTGCAAGCTGCTCTTAGAAATCAGGGGCAGCTCGGGGAGGAGGTACCTAGGCAGGAGCTGTTTATGCTCAAGTCCTGGAGAAGCAGCAGCTGTGTTTGCTCTCAGCCCAGAGTGATCAAGGGCAACCTCCTTGTGAACAAACTGGAGTTGTGTGGAGATCCATCTAGGAGAGCTCATCTGCTCCCGAAGAGGGCTGTGCAGAGCTGTCGTAACAACTGGACTAGGTAATACTTAAGCAGTAGAGTTGGGGGTTCCTGATTAGCGAACCTTTGAGAAATCTCCCTCCCATCAGCCTTCTACCCTGCTTAAAACTCTTCCACTAGGGATTCATTCCTTTGGCTTAAATACTGTATTTTCTTATCTAACAGCGAATACAATACAACTTGCATCTGCCAACACAGAAGATGATATTTTAAAAAAAAGAAAACATCGTGTTAAGAAAACTCATCTGTTACTCAAGGCAAGACCTCAGGCCCCCATGGGTGGGTAGGAATTGAAAATAAGGAAGTCTGCAGTCCGTCACTCACAAGTCAGGACGGTGGGCATGAGGGCCGCGAACATGAGGAACAGCATGGAGAAGAAGAGGAAGCCCGAGTTACTCAAGACCTTCTTGGCTTCGTTCCCGATCCCCAAGTACAGCAGGCCAATGAGGAGGCCGATCCCGATGTGCGAGGTGATGCGCAGGTGCGTCAGAACCTGGGGACAGAGCCGCGTCTTACCCGGTGCATGCACAGCAGCCCTCAGCTCCGAGGGTAACCCGGCTGTGGCTTTGGAAGCGTGTGACCCTGAACTCTGGACAGTGGGTCTCAGGCTTCATCATCCCCTCTCCACCAGAAAAACAAGCCAAACCCTAAGACAACTCACATTCATGCACATGCTCACACACATTAATACACGCATGTTCACACACATACGCACACATGTGGGGCTTTTGTTGTGTTAAAACAGACACAACTACTATTGTTTGTTAAAGATTCAAAATGGAGAACAGGTCTACCCTGAGAAAAGAGGAAAGGTAAAAGCAATGGAGAGGGAAAAGTGTCTGTATCAGAGGCTCCAAGTGCTCTGCTATGGGCTGCAGTGAACCCCTCTGTCTTTCAAATTAGGTCCCAGAAGCCTCGCCAGTCGTTCAGCCCCTCCTAAGCAGGTGGCCAGATAGTCCACTTCCCTGGTGGACATTATGGTTCCCACGTATTCACCACCTCCTTCCCTATAAGGAATTGCCACCTCCCAACCCAATCCTCATGATTCACAGTGCTTTCCTGAAGGAGAAATGGACTTGCCCAGTGCCCTGGTTTCAGGCTTGGCCATGTGACTGGTTTAGGCCAATGGCGTGTGAGTACACATGATGATCTGCCACCTCCAATTGGAAGTCTCAAGGACTGTCATTTGCTTTCTCTCTTGCACTTTTCCTTTGACCTGTTCCAGAGAGGCATGCCCAGATAGGAGCTGTCCCCAGGTGAGAAGACTTATGGGACAGAGACACAACACAACCCACTGTTGCCACCCCTCACATAAGCAGGACACAAATATTGATTGGGGGGACACGGACATTTTGGGAGTGTTTGTTACTGCAGCAGTATAGTCAACACTGACTATTGCAAATGGAAGAAAAGTAATTTGAAAGTTTAGTGATATGGCTCGGGTCTGTGTCCCCACACAAATCTCACATTAAATTGTAATCCCCAGTGTTGGAATTGAGACCTGACTGGATCATGGGGCAGACGGACTTCTCCTTCAGTCCTGTGCTTGTGACAGTGAGTGAGTGAGTGCGACATTTGGATTTTTTTTTTTTTTTTTGAGGCAGAGTTTTGCTCTTATTACCCAGGCTGGAGTGCAATGGCACAATCTCAGCTCACTGCAACCTCCGCCTCCTGGGTTCAAGCAAATCTCCTGCCTCAGCCTCCCAAGTAGCTGGGATTACAGGCACGCACCACCATGCCCAGCTAATTTTTGTGTTTTTTAGTAGAGACGGGGTTTCACCATATTGACCAAGATGGTCTCAATCTCTTGACCTCATGATCCACCTGCCCTGGCCTCCCAAAGTGCTGGGATTACAGGCGTGAGCCACCGTGCCCAGCCCAAGAGATCTGGATATTTGTGTGTAGTACTCCATCCACCTTCTTCTGCTCTGCCATGTAAGATCTGCCTACCTCCCCTTCACCTTCCACCATGATTGAAAGTTTCCTGAGGCCTCCCCAGCCATGCTTCCTATGTAGCCTGTAGAACAATGAGCTGATTCAACCTCTTTTCTTTATAAATTCCCCAGGCTCAGGCATTTCCCTCCCTCCCTTCCTTCCTTCCCTCCTTCCTTCCTTCCTTCCTTCCTTCCTTATTGCTTCCTTCTTTCTTTCTTTCTTTTCTTTTCTTTCTTTTTTGAAACAGGAGTCTTGCTCTGTTGCCCAGGTTGGAGTGCAATGGTGAGATCTAGGCTCACTGCAACCTCCACCCCCTGGGTTCAAGGACTTCTCCTGCCTCAGCCTTCCTAGTAGCTGGGATTATAGGTGTGCGCTACCATACCCCCTAATTATTATATTTTTAGGAGAGATGGGGTTTTGCCATGTTGGCTAGGCTGGTCTCAAACTCCTGACCTCAGGTGATCCACCCACCTTGGCCTCCCAAAGTGTTGGCATTAGAGGCATAAGCCACCACGCCCAGCCTCGGGAATTTCTTTATAGCAGCGTGAGAATAAATGAACACATTCCATCAGGGCGAGTCCATGAGAAAATGACCCACGGCCTCCCTAGCCATGGGAGAAGATGTGAGGCAGCCTTACCGAGTCCCTCATGATGCTGAGGAAGGTCCTCTTGAAGAGGATACAGAACTGCGTCAGGCAGCTGGCAGAGAAGCTGTGGCAGCCTTCCATGGACGAGGAGTCCTGTGGACACATCCAAGAGGGGACTGGTGAAAACCAGCCTGGAGCCACGGCTCCTTCTCACTCGGAAAGAGCTATCACGCAGCGATATACAGCGCCACATGCAGCCTCCCCAGGGGCTTCGGGATTTGCATTACCTTTCTCAACCCCTTCAATCGTTTTGTCTGCTTTACCTCTTCAGAGGGCCGGTGCCAAAGAAAAGGGTTCACCTCGGCATCACCCCCAAGGTCTCTCTTATGGTCAGAGTCACACATGCCCTCCCGAACTGCTCTCACCAGGCGACCGTTCTGATCACCATACTCGCCAGATGCAACCTCCATAACTGTAGGAGACACAGAAGTGGGGTCAGCCCAGGCTCCAGGAAAGATGCCCCAATCACACAAATGTGAAAGTCGTTTCTCAAGTGGGAATGTTTCAAAGTGATTCCATAGGTGCTGCATGGCGGTGCTGACGGCATGGCGTCAGAATCACTTATCAACCAGCATTCGGCTCTCAAACTCCCAGCCAGGCCGTTCATCACGTCAGGAGACTGGAAACACACACATAGTGCTGTCGGGTGCATGTACTGATGGCTCATCCAGTGGTACTTAAATTCCTGCTCTGTGCCAGCCTCCGAGGTAGAGCTGGGGAGGGGAGCAGGAAGCCGGAGGCAGGACTCCTCCCTGAGGAGCCTGTGGTTTGGCAGGGTGTGATGAGAGCTGCAGCAGTTCTACAAGACCGCAGAGAAGGACATGCCCACTGCCACACATGTGGCTGGTGCCCTGGGGACCTCGACCTACACCTCTTAGAGCCAAGTGAGTACCTCCTGCACTGGCCCTCCCAACTCTGCACCTGCTCCTGCTGTCCCTGCCGCATCCCAATCTTCACCTCATCCCCCTGCCTGCCGACTCGCTCCCCCAAGGCCTCCTCCCACCTCGATGTCCTCTGCAGCCTGCGGCTCCTTCCATACTCCCATGGCAAGTGGTCTCATCCCTCTGCCTGCCTGTTTCCTCCCAAGCCCTCTGCCCTCTCCTGCCTCTGTGATGCCTTGCCCCCAACTCCAGTAATATCCTTGCTAAGGCCCAAAGCTCCCAATGCCCTTGCTTTTTCTGTACTTCCCTCTGGCAGAGCCAGCTACCTGCTTCCTCCCAGCTGGTATGGGGCCACCACACCTCCTAGATCAAGCCACAAACCAGAACCCATTGGCTCCACCAGAAAGTTATTCTCTAGGGCTCCAAACAAGCGCACAGCACTGCCAGGCAACGTTTCCACGCATCCAGGCCCCTGTGGTCACCCGCACCGCTACAGTGGGCCACACTTCCCTCACTCCACCACCCACTCTCTGGTCAGAGGACACTGAGGAAGTGGAAGCCCCAGAAGGGAACATCCTCATCTCTCCAGGACCTCTCCGCACCCCCATGTGCCATGTCTTTCCTCTCCTTCCTGCCCACCCTTCCCTCCAGGTTCTCACTTCCATGCAGACTTCAGACCTCACCTCCCCTGCTGCAGTCAGTAGCATCCATTACTGACCTGTTACTGATCTGTTACCCTCCCTTGTGAGTGAGCGTGAAACCAGAATCGCAGCCTCCCGGGGCTCCCGTCTCCCCTCAAACCACACTCCGTGCACCCTGTGCCCTCTCTCCTCGCCATCACAGCCTACCCCTTGTGAGCGAGAGGTACTTCTGGTGAACAGTCTCATGGAACACAATTTGGGAAATAACATAGAAAATAGAGTCCTGGGAATTATATAAATCAAATATTTTAAAGAAAAATGACAGATTAAGGCTGATGGCTGGAAGGTGGAGGAGGAGAGAAGTCCACCTGGACCATCATCATGAAACCTTATTCGGGAAAGTGTCTCTGCAGAGGTACTTAGGATCTGGAGATGAATGATCCTGGACTTAGGGCCTAAATCCAAAGACTGCTGTCGTCCGGAGAGGAGGCGATCAGTACACAGAGACAGGAGGGGGCGGAGACGGGCTGGCCAGATGCTTTTACCTAGTGTCTCCAGGAAAGGAAACTTATTTTGTTCTTTAAAAATTTTATCACTGGGTGACACTTGAGCCATTTGTGGCATATTCAAGTGATTTCCGAGTTGGGGGCGTCGGCTAAAAGTGAAACCCACAGAGGAGGAAAATCCCCTTCCCGTCCCCGACTCTGCTTAGGGCTCCGCTTACCAAAATCTGCTGGGTTGTGGTAGGTTGGACAGTTCAGACCCAAATCCCTCAAATATGGCACAAGATTGGAGACTTTTCCCCGGTACACACATTGTCCTTGACTCAGGACGTAAAGCTGGAAAAAAGTAAGAAGAGAAAGGGGTCAAGCCTTGCCCTCCTAGGAAAGCACCAGGAGCTCCCAATCAGTCAATCTATCAATCAGCCAATCAGTCAGCCCAACAACCAGCTGCTTCCTCTCCTGAGCGCTTGCTATTATCCCCCAAGGGCCCTGTTAAAATTTGAAGGGAAAGCCGTGATAAGTCACGGGAGACAGAATACCGCGTGGCCAGGAATGACGTTATTATATTGCTTGCTTTTTCTTTTTCATGCTAACCACGTGCTCAGAAAAAATTTTGGAGCTACACACGTTTTGTCCCTTTGTGACTGCTTTTGTTCAGACCAATATCAAAACATGATTTTTTTTTTTTTTTTGATGCAGGGTCTTGCTCTGTTGACCAGGCTGGGGTGTAGCGGCACGATCTTGGCTCAGTGCAACTTCTTCCTCCCGGGCTCAGGTGATCCTCCCACCTCAGCCTCCCAAGTAGCTGGGACTATAGGAGTACCCACACCTGGATACTTTTTGCACTTTTTTTTCTTTTGTAGAGACAGGGTTTCGCCACATTTCTCAGACTGTTCTTCAACTCCTGAGCTCAAGTGATCCACCCACCTTGACCTCCCAAAGTGCTGTGATTACAGGGAAGAGCCACTGTGCCTGGCCAAACCCTAAGATTTATAAACCACATGATATTGTGCAAATGCTGTAACCTGTCAATCATTCTGGAAAACAACTGTCACCCCACCCCCATTTTAACAGGGGAGGTGATGAAGCCTTACAATGCTGGTGACACCCAGAATCCCACGACCCACCACCGGGGCCAAGAGAGGACTCTGCTCAGCCCCTTCAGCTCCCCAGCCCCCTTCCCTGCCTGTGGGTCCAGAAGTCTCACAAAACCTAGCACCTAAACACTCTCAAAAATGAAGACACCCTACAAGGTAACAGAAGGCTGTTGGTGCCCAGGGTTCAGGGTCACCAGGCCAACCTGAGTGCAGTGGTAATCTGGCGGGGAGGCCCGGGGCCCACGTACCTGGTCAAACAGCTCGAAGAGCTTGGCACTGGGCTGGTGGATGGTGCAGATGATGGACCGCCCCCCCTGAGCCAGGCCTTTCATCAGTGAGACCACCTGGAAGCAGGAGGCGCTGTCCAGGCCGCTGCAAGTCAAGGGGGCACTGTGAGATGCCCGTGGGCGGCAGGAACAAACCACTGGCCATATCCCAGGGGCCCAGGGAGTCCCTATCCCAGAGGGCTTGGCATCAGGGGCCCGGAGCTGCAGCTACCCTCTCCCAGACTGCTTTTCTGTTTGGCTGCTCAGGGGGGAGCACACAGTGGGGCTTATCATGCTGCATTTTATTCCTGGCAAGAACAGAGGAGCCCCAGGGAGCCTTGCTGCCAGAGTCCAGGACAGAGGTGGGGGGTCCCCACTCATCTGGGCAGGAGGGGACTTCACCACTGTCCAGGCAGGCAGCTGGGCCTCCAGTGGTCTAGTGATCTGCAGTCACCACCCCCACTTCTCATCTTCCCCCTAGGGGGCTGGCGATGGGGTGTCACCCCATAGAAGGGGGCCTTGGTGCAGCCCAAGTGGGCTTTACTCTGGCAGGTGTTTCACTGTCCAGCAAGGTCCTGGGGACCTCTTGTCTCTTCTCCCTTCCTGGCCCCTCAGACCTATTCCTGTTCCCATCCCCTCAACTCTGAAGTGACAGGTCAGGGGAGACAAGTATGTGCTGGGAAGTCCCCCGGTGCCCACACATTCCTGCAAGATGCTACTTAAGGCTTCATTGTGGCCTCTCTTTTCCTGAACTGTCTTATAGACTGGGACTGTGCAGGCCCAAGAGAAACAAACACATGACCCCTCCCCGCAGAAGGCTGCTGACACACTGCTGTCAGATCTAGCTGGACTTTGGAGAGGTGAGTGCTTGGCAGAAGTGAGACCACATAAAGTCTGGCTGAAGTCATTTCAGGAGCAGCCTGGTTCCCATCCTGGGACAACTGAATAGGACACGCGCCGGAGTCAGGTGAGCTCGACCCATGGCCAGGGGCACCAGAGCCAAGACTCCAGAGCAGCGACTTCCCAAGGGAGCCCCAAACATAAAGGGCATCACCCAGGAAAGGGATCAGGGCACCCGTAGCTATAGAGGGCTGGTGAGCACCCGAGGGAGGGTTCTGTCCTGCGGGCATCTCTGAGCCTCTGATGTGGTAAAGTGTGAGGCGTTTCCAGAACACATCTGAAGACAGAACACATCTGTCCCATGACGCTGGCCTTCGGAGTGACTGAGCCATGGGGAACTTGCATCATGGAAGAGACAAGCATCATGAAAGGGAGATGGTTTCCCCCAAAACCATATCTCCAGGCTCAACACATGCCTTGCCGGCCTCAGCAGAGGGACGTCTCTGAGCAGAGGCGGGAAGGGGTATAAGTCAGCCCCTCTGCCCAGCAGTCCCAGATGGAAGGAGGAGCCACTGGGCGAGCAGAGCTCACCTCACCCCTCTGAGGCTGCATCAGGATGTCAGGGTCACCTGAACAAAGGGGCTTCTTCCTGCTCCTGGACACCAGCCCAGACGCTCCTGACTTACCTGGTGGGCTCATCGAAGAACATGACTGGTGGGTTGTTCACCAGCTCCAGTGCGATGGCCAGGCGCTTTCGCTGGCCACCCGACAGGCTCCCCGTTCGCGTGTTGGCGCAAGACAGCAGGCCCAGTGCTGTCAGTATCTCCTTGACCTGGGGGCGGCAGAACCAGAGACATTGGATTATTTGAGCTGCCAGCCAAAGCTCACCACCTCCCATGGCCCACGAGGGAGACCTGCTGGCTGCCCTCAGCCTGCTGGACACACTGTGCCTGGTCCACATGGAGGTTGCCCAAGTCGAGCCCTCCCCAGGCTGCCTGGTGCCAAGTGGGGCAGGTGCCATTTCCACATCAGCAGTCCTGATGAGGGACAGAGGTTGCCCAGAGGCTGTGCAGCAGTGCTGGGGTCAGACCTGAGGGCTTTCGTCCTCATCAGCCATATGGCCTCTGGCAGGTGCTCAGGGCACCTTCCTCACTGCTAAGCCTAGCCCAGTGCCCTGTACAGAGAAGGTGTTCAGTAAACAGTTGAACTGATGGATGAATGGACACATGAGAGGATGCACAATTTCTGGTGGTTTCTGCCCAGATTGAAGGGGAGGGTCACTGTGACCGTTACTTGAAAAAGTGAATGCAGAGAGCGCAGAGCAGCACGGAACCCTCGAAGGCTCTTCCCAGAGCTCTTGTCATTGCTGAGGTGGGCGTTAAGGGCAGGGACACAGTCATAAGCACCAGGGCTCTCAGGAAGGGGGACAGCGTCACTTTTGTTCTTGTAAATAGGTTTGACTTGAAAGCAAGGTCTCCAAGGTGCCAGGAAGGCAATGGAACAGATCTGCAGTGCCCCTCAAAGCAGTTATGACCCATGGTAGCCACCCCTCGGCCCAGGCTCCAGGAAGCAGGCTGCACGCTAAGATACAAGCAGGGCACTGTGCACGGAGCCCTCCCTGTGTGCTCCGGATTATTGATCCTGTACTGACTCAGGGAACACAGAGGTCAGCAGATTTCTGTGTCGGCTTGGTACTGCTTTCGCCCCCGAGTCTTCTCAGAAGCAGGCCTGGGTCAGCCACTGCCATCCTTGCCTCCCTACCCTGGGGGCAGCCGGCCTGGGCCTCCCTCCAGCATTCACCCAGCTAGCCTCCCCACCCCGGTGGGGCAAAGCCAGCGGACCCTGGTCCAGCGGCTCCTCTAGGGAGATGAAGTCATCGGAGGGAGCAGGAACACACAAGGAAGAAAATTTCCACTCTGGGCTTTTGAATTATTTATGCACGGTCAGTACAAAGTGCAGCTTTGGTGACAGAAGGAAGCGGGGCACGGCTGCTGGACCGGCCAGGGCAGGTGGCAGTGCAGGGTCAGCTGACCTGGGCTCCAGCCCTGTCCTGAGCTCTTGCTGATGCTCTTGCCCCAGCTCTGGTGCCTCCACTGGACTACTGGCTCTGAGGGCCACCAAACCAGAAACAGCTTCCAGGAGGCTGTCTGGAAAGGCTGGCAGGTGGGGGGCATGCAAGGTGGGCAGGGCCCTCTTCTGCTGGTGTCCCAGGATGAGGCCTCGGGGTCTTCTGGAACCACTGGCCACAGCTGGGGCTTCCAGGCTTACCGTGGGGCCCCACACATGCGCCACATCTTCTTCTCTCCCTCCCCTCTGACAGAGGGGATGCTGGAAACGGAGGCCTCTGTGGATGCCTTTCCCTCTGCACCCTTGCCCATGAGCTGGGCCCACCCCACTTTCTCCAGAGTCCTCTCAGGAGGGACGCCACCCAGGTGGGTCTATTTTAAAGACTAGTCAGAAAGAACAAACAATGATCTCAGTTGTTTATACATTTTCCCTAAACAAGAAACTTGCAAGCCTGGTGTAGCTCCAGCCCCCTGGGGCCTCCCAGCAGGTGCTCCAGGGAAGGTCTCAGCAGCCCATGCTGCCCCTGGGGGCCTCACTCTTGAGGAAGTGGCCTTGCTGGAGGGCTCTGGGGAACTGAGGCTGCTTTGCTGGGAATCAAGAAAGGCCGTGCACAACTCATTCCACCGACTACTAGAACGTTCCATTCCATTGTGTTTCCATGAGACAGAGAGAGAACCTGGACCCAGGTGCACCTCAGGGGTTAGAGGGAAGTGAGTGAAGCCGTGACATGGCTGCGTGTCCTCCTGACGGCTGAGGAACAGAAGTGCGGGTCCCAGCTGCGTCTGCTAGTGAGAACATGTGGTGGACGCAGTGTGGCCCCTCCGTCCTGTGTGGAGGGCTCTCTGCACTGTTCAATCCAGCCTCAGAGGAATCAGGACGGTGCCAGGGGCTCACTCCTCGGGGGTGATTCAGCCACATGAGCTGATATTTTTGCCCTTGTAAACCCAGCAGAAAGCAGCTGGAGGCTGTCTTCGGGGCTGTCTTAGGCAGGGCCCAGGTGCCATGAGGACACACACCCTTGGGTGCCGCCTGCCCTCAGGCCCCACGTAGCTGCTCCCAGGAGGCGCTTCCATTCCCTGCCGAGGTGCTGGCTTGTTCTGGGTCTTCTCGCTCCGGCAGGTGAAGGGCCTGGCTTGCTGTGGCCTCGGCACAGAGCCTGCTGAGGAGCACTCACTGTGCACCCAGGGAGAGTCTTTCCCGAGCTCTTCCAGAAAAGGCTGGTGGCTGTCACCTCGAGCTGCAGGGAATTGATCCCACAGTCCCTCCATAGGGATCACATGGGCTCCATCGACCTCAGAGACCTTAAAGAAACATCCAGTTCAGGCTGGCACTGGCCTGAAAAGCAAGTGGGGCCTGGCTTCCTGTCCCCATGTTATAGGGCAAAGCTCGGCTCGTGCATGGCAGGCAGTAGCCCAAGGCCACCAGTGGGTTCCAGGAGGGGTCCCCTGTGTGCTTAGCTCCACCTCACTCCAGGACCTCTCCGTGTTAGCAGGGCTCTCCACCCTCTGCCTCCACACCTGCTCCCCCCGAATCCGGTGATCCCCAAGACCCTCTCCCTCATCTGCTCTGTCCTCAGACCTTTGGTTTGGATCAGAGAGACAGAATTCCCTCTCTCCAGTGCCTCATGCTCCAGAGCGCTCGGCCCCTCTTCCACAACGACCATCAGTGGCTGATTCCACCATCTCTCCTTGGAGCCCCCACAGCTGCCCCTCAGCTTGCAGGCCAGCGTCTGGAGGGGTCTTTGGGACCTTGAAGGAGGGCAAAGAGATTGGACTGTGCTTCCGACACCCCTTGAAAGCAGGGAGGTTGGGGGATGGGAAGGAGGGCCCTGAGAGGTGGTCCCAGGGGCACTGTGGTCCTCTGGGCTTCAAAAGGAGCAGCTTCTTGAGTCTCCGGGTGGAAAAGCCTCTGCTCTGTGGGGGCCCTGCACACTCTTGCCAATCTCTCCTCTTGTCCTGCAGCTGATGGCAAGGAGGACCCAGGGGTGGGAGGCGGCAAAGCTGACCTCAGACAGGGAGAGTGGAGGTCACCCTGGCTCAAGCCCGGGGCCCCCGTTCTGTTGATTTCTGTGCATCTCCCACGGGAGACTTTGCCGAGACTCAGCTCTGACAGCTGGCTTTCTGTGTGTTCTTCCGTGTGCCTTCGGTGTGGAGAATGAAGGCTGTGATTTAGCGCCCCACACCAGGCACTTCCACAACAGAAATTCCTGTCTCAATTCCGGAGGCCACAGTCTGGGGTGGAGGGCAGCAGGGCTGGTTCCTAAGGCCCCTCTCCTGGGCTGGCAGATGCCGCCTCCTCCTGTGTCCTCATGGGATCATCCCTTGGGCTGTGTCTGGGTCCTCTTCTCCTCTCACAGGGACACAGTCAGACTGGACTGGGCCCCCCATATGAATCCACTTTAACTTCATCACCTCTATTAAGACCCTATCTTCAAATACAGCCAATTCTGGGTTTCGGGGCATAGGCTGTAACATACCATCTTTTTTGGGGTACTCAGGCCATAACACTCATCTTCCATAACTTGGTATCATCAACACTCTTGGGCTTGGAGGTGATGTGTGTGTGTGTGTGTGTGTTGAGGGGGGCGCAGATGTCTATGTTACGTTGTTTAGAAAACCCTGTCCAGAGAGGGTTCTCGCCTTTCAACCTAGACAATAAAGTCACAAGGCTGGGTCTTCTGTCCTCATGAAGGGCCAGAAACACATGATTTCCACGTTTTCTCTCTTTTGGGTTCCGTTAATCCATTTTCTTTTCAATCTCAGAATACAAGAATTCCACACAAAACATTTTCTGTAGCAATGAAGCATTATTTTACTTCTCTCAGACACTGGGCTCTTTCTACCTACACTGGGCATTTGAGCCCCGGACCGCGATGACATGGGCTGAGTCCTGAGTTTCAAAGGGTGCAGTTGCCGGGCAGAGGCGGGGAGAAGGAGTGTTAAGGTGCCGGGCAGAGGCAGGGAGAGGGAGCATTAAGGTTGTCCGACTCTTTCCTCCATAGCAGAGTGGTTCACATTTACTTAATATTAGCGGTTACGCACCACAGCAGAGGGGGAAATGATGAAAACAGAATTGCTGGGTGTTTCTCTATCCCATCAATCACTCCATTTTAAACCAGGACACAAGGGGCCAGGTCGAGCCATTGGCACTAACCCAGCAAACCTCACTCTCAGTGGCTGGACTGCGGTCATGTAAGGGTGTTAGGAGAGAAAGATAATGTTACAGAAGAGGGGTTCCCCAGACCCCATCTCATGCTGAAAATCCCACCAGCACTCGCCAGAGTGGAAAGGACAGTGGGCTTCCCAGGGAGGGTGTGTGAGCCCAGGCTGGTGGGCTCCTTCCTGTGTGGCTTTCTGCTGCTCCCCCTGGCTCTACCCACCTGCACCTGTCCCTGCTTCTGAATTTGTGAAGAAAAAAAAAAATTGGCTATGGGGATTAGAAAGTCTTCATCATCCTGAAAATGTCTTTATTTTCTTTTTTAAAAGGCTGGTTAATAACACGTAAGAACTAAAGTTCTTCTTGCAAGTGCGGGTGGGTGGAGGGTGGTTATTTTTAAATGAATGACTAACCATCTTCATTGTTTTTGTCTTATAAAACATTGAATACAGATCATATTAAACACTGAAAGGTGCAGCACTCGTGGTCTAACCCTGAAGCTGGCATCTTCTGGCCCCATGAGTGCCAAGGCTGCCGCCCCTCACGTTACATTGTGACTCCTACATCTGAGAATCAAATCCATGATGTGTGCACCAGATCCATCTCTCCTGGCGTCTGGCTGCAGCAGGCCACAGCACTCCCTGAAATGTCACCTGTCCCACACACGGAAGGCAAGGCAAAAACAAATCAACAAACAAAAGCCAGTGCCAGAAACCCGGCAGGCACGCTTTCCGCATGCCCTCCATGTACTTTCCGGACCACTTACCATCTCCCTTCTGCCTTCATCCTTCTCCTGAAGCTTCAGATGTGCCGACACCTGCGGGGGACAAGGACAGCAGTGTAGAAGCAGAACAGATGGCCATCAGCAGGGTGAGCTTCATGGCCGCACTGCAGACTGTGGTGCAGCTAGCCACAGTGCCACTGGCCACGGTGCAGCTAGCCACAGTGCTGCTAACCATGATGCTACTACCCATGGTACAGCTAGACACGGTGCCACTAGCCATAGTGCAGCTGGACACAGTGCCGGTAGCCACAGTGCAGCGAGACACGGTGCCACTAGCCATGGTGCAGCTGGACACAGTGCCGCTAGCCTGCTAGCCACGATGCCGCCAGCCACAGTGCAGCTAGACACGGTGCCACTAGCCATGGTGCAGCTGGACACAGTGCAGCTGGATACAGTGCCACTAGCCCACTAGCCACGATGCCACTAGCCACAGTGCTGCTGTCCATGATGCCACTAGCCACGGTGCAGCTAGCCACAGTGCAGCCCACTGATCGCCATGGAAAACCCAAGGAGTTCTTGGCTTCCCATGCCCCCTGCTTTAATAGTGGTAGGGTGGCAGGAGAGCAGTCCGTGTGTGATGCTTCCAGCTATCTCAGTGGGATTCTCTGCTGTACCCAGGAGAGAAGTCAGATATGGGCAATTTAGAGGTAGGGGCTTGGCGATCCACCTGGGCAGAACCAGCGGTCTGAGTTAGGCGTTCCATAAACCATATGTTAAACTGCTGAGGTTTGAACTTATCCACAGGGAGAGTCTTTATGCCGCAGGAATTTACAAGGGCGACACGCAAGGATGCCGCATTTTTTTGTGTTTTTTGAGATCGCGTTTGCTAGCACAGCGCTGGCTCCTGGCCCTGCCTGGGAAAACCCAGAGCAGAGATCACCATGCCCAGGATCGGCCTGGCTTCCACCCTCCTGCCTACAGTGGCTTTGGGCAAACACGCAGCCTCCGTCTCCTCACCAGCATAACAGTGAGGTTAAGCTCTGTCCACCTCATTAGCTAGAGAAGTTGCTGTGAGGACCAGAGGAGAGAGTGGGGTGCAGGGGGGAGTGGCAAAGAGGTCCTAGGTCCCAGAGTTGGACAGAGTCAGACGCATGCTCCTGGGCAGAGCCAGCTGCCTGCATGCAACACTGCCTATCATTTCTCAGTCTGCCTGGCAGCTGTGAGGGTGAAGGGCACAAAAATGCACAACTGGGTCTGATGTGGGATCAGAACTCCCCAACAGGTGGCCGGTATCTCCTGCGTGTGGGAAAGGACCTTGAATGATAACCCACACCATCGTCGCAGACTATTTCTCGAAGGCCTCGTGAAATTCTCAGAATCAAAATCGAATTGAATTTGATTCTGAAAATAGATTATTTCACAGCAGGTCCAGTGGCGAGGTTGGAGAGGACAGAGAAGACAGCAGGGGTCACTAGTCACATCTGCGGAGAAAGCAGCCACTGGGTCTCGAGCACGTGGCCTTGGGGTTCACTCAAGAACTCACTGAGAAGCCAAACTCACACTACCAAAGAGGCAGGAGCAATTCGGGAATCAGCAGGGTGTGTGTGAAGCTCGAGTTTACGGCATACACAGAACAGTGACCAGCAGGTAAAGAGAACTTCACGGCTGCTTTGCACCTTATGTTTGCCCCCTCCTCAGAGGTCCTCGTGCCCCATCTGAACGTCCATTTGGAGGCCAGATCAACAGTCAGGGTACCATGGGGCACACAGCGCCTAGGTAGGCTCGGCCCAGGGAATGGCATCCGCTTACCCACAGAACATGCAGGACCAGGGGACATGAGTGGGAATAGCCCTGCAGGTTCCTCTCTTTCTGTTTCCCCACAAAGAAGGTTAGATAGCAGATCACGTGTTTGCAAATGTAACCTGCTTCTCTTTGCTGAGCTAAGAACCCCTTGGCATTGCCCTTCACATGACACGCTAGGCAGCTGCCACTCTCGGTCACCACAGGGAGGGAGCTTTGCCCAACCCCAGTCAGAAAGGCCAGGTAGGATCTCTCCAGGCAGAAAACCAAGGTGAACCCTCATCTATGACCAAAGCACAGAGCAGACCGAACTGAGGGTGTCCCCTAGGGTGCCAGGAGAGACGTGAAGCCTGGAGACTCTTTTTTTGCAGCGAATAAAGAGGAAGCAGAAAAATAAACAGCCCTCCACACAAAGCCAGCCATGACTGGCAACCGGAGCTGCATGCTGATTTTCAGTCTCCTCTTGATGGGAGGATTCTCATGGCCACCTCTGAGTTGAGCCTTTAAAAAGTAAACAAAAAATGGCCCCCGCTGGGCACAGTGGCTCACACCTGCAATCTCAGCACTTTGGGAAGTCGATGCAGGCAGATCATGAGATCAAGAGTTCAAGACCAGCCTAGTCAACACAGTGAAACTCGTCTCTACTAAAAATACAAAAATTAGCAGGGCACGAAGGTGGGCACCTGTAGTCCCAGCTACTTGGGAGGCCGAAGCAGAAGAATTGCTTGAACCTAGGAGGCAGAGGTAGCAGTGAGCCAACATTGTGCCACTGCATTCCAACCAGGGTGACAGAGTGAGACTCTGTCTTAAAAAAAAAAGGCCCTGGAAGCCCAGAGGCATGGCACTGGGCTGGGTCATGGTCTGCCCAAGGAACACAACCAGCTGTTTCAGAAAGCCAGGCATAGGACACCTCCTGGACCCTTCTGTGGCCCCAAGAGGGGGAGGTATTTTTAAACCTCCCCAAATGCTGGACTTGTCCACAGGGAAGGTAAGTGAAGACACTATGGGAAGGCTTACTAGGAGTGAAAAGAAACAGTCACCAAGTTGAATGGATTAGGCACCAACTGTATACCAGAATTCCACCCCCCCCTCCCTGCATCTTCCCTTTCAGTGTTTACACCGACCCTGTGCGGTCCTGCAGATGAGGACACTGAGGCTGTAAGGGGGAAGCAGGTGCGTGGCAAGGAGGTCGAGCTGCCAGTCACAGGCGCACCTTTGGAGGAGACAGCTCTGGCCACACATGGCCATCGGCAGCCGGGCGGCCCTGGGCTCCTTGCGTTACTGGGGGAAGCTCCATTTCTCATCCACTTTCTTGGGATGACCTATCTGGTGTGTGTAGAGCTATGTGCTTGGGGCCAGGGATCCAGGAGATGCTCGGCCATTGCTGGTTTCATTTTCCCACCTGGCAGGCAGCTGACTCAGAGGAATAGACCCTTGGGGTTGACTAAGACACCAGGTGAGTGGGTGCTTGGGCCAAAGACACAGAATGACTCAAGGATGGCTGATGGGAAGGAGAATCCCAAGCATTGGCCTGCAGGGGAAATGGGATGTCCGCTGCCCTGGTTGGATCACCCAAGTCAGCTGGGTTACTAACCTTCTCAGAAGCTTGACCCCAACCCTGCCAAACAAGGCCCATTAAACTCAAGGTCTTGGGGGTTTGGGGATGAAGCTGCTGTCCCAACAGCAAGCCTGGAGTTAGAACTCTGCTAGAGGGAGGTGCTGACTGCGCGCAGGCTGCCTGGCAGAGCCTTCCGGTCTCTCGCAGCTGGGCTCGTGGCCAGTACTGTGTGGTGTGGGAGCTGGGGGGCAGCGGGGTGGCAGGGGTGGGCGGGGCAGCATGGGAGCTCACCATCATAGCCTCCTGCACGGTGAGGTGCGGCAGCAGCATGTCGTCCTGCATGATGTAGCAGGACACCTTCCGGAAGCAGCGCAGATCCCGGGGCAGCCCATTGATGAGGACGGCTCCCTTCATGCCCGTTTCCCTGTAGAGCCAAGGACAAGGGAAGCCATCAGCTGCTGGCTCCTGCTGCTCCTGCGCCTCCTGGCCCAGGTGAGGGGAGCCAGAGAGCGGGCTCACCTCCCAGCTGAACCACGGGCCACAGGGACCCCAAGGGGCAGAAAGAGACTGGACCTAGCTAGCACTGCTGCCATTGGGAGGAAGAAATTCCACAGAGAAAGTGCCTGGGGGGAAGAGGAAGGCGCACACAGGCCTCCATGGGAAGGTGTATCTATACTCAGGGTGACAGCAGCTCTGTCTTGACCTCCCAAAGACACGCAGGCATAGTCCTATACGCAGTCACAAGGTGGGGATGTACAGCCCCTGGATTTGTGGGGGTTTGTAAGACTGGCTTCTCAATAATTCTGTGTGTAGCTCAGGCTGCGCCCGCTGCCCGAAGACCAGACTTCTGCAGATGTCAGGCCTGGGAAGGAGCACCAGCAGAGAGGGGCTTGGAGCCTGGGGCCAGAACCCGCTTAGCCGAGTGAATGGCCCTTCTCCAGCAGGGAGAACTCTCTCTGGTGAGCAGGCTGAGTCCCCAGGTGCTCCTGTGAGGCAGGCACGGCCTCACCAGGCACAGTCATTCACCGGCTGGTTCATCTGCTCACTGCAGACCTACTGTGCACCTCTGCCCCTTGCCATTCCTCCGGGTGCATGAGTGCCGCCCAGGAGCTGGTGTGTGACACAGGTAGTCTATGCTCTATGCCTCTAAGATCCAGTTTCTCTAGCCCTACCTCCTAGATGTGATAGAGAATCAAACTGAGGAGCCTCTATGGAGACTAATGAAAGCATGCCTAGTTTCCAACTCCACTCAGCTTGTCACTATGACTGGGGGCCTGTGGCCACGTCCCTTCACTCCTCCAGGCACCGGCAGGGATCAGCTGGCTTCCCCTGGATCCCCAGGCCTGAAGGCCCCTCCTGAGTTGCCTCTGAAGCTCCAGGATGCCAAGCACCCATCAGGCTGCCAGGAGCTGTGGGCGCATTGATGAGCTCAGAAGCAGCCGCCCTGAAGGATACCCAGTCCCCTCTGGCCCTGCATCCCTCTGGGAACTCAACTTTAGCCTTCAGATGTGACTCTCGCAGGTAGAGAATTGCCATAAGTGAGATGTTTTTCAAATCCTAATTTCTGGCATTAAGGTTGAATTCAGAAACTCTAAGGAAAAGGTGGTATTTACCATTTTTTCAGTAAATGAAATTATTATTATTTGCTGAAGTTAGTAAATAAAACCCAGCAGACATGAAAATAACCGACTTTAACAGAGCATTTTAAAAACGCTTCTGAAGATTCTAATCCAAGTTTTCTAATCATTCCCAAACGGATGACACTGGGCACAATGGTCACCAAACTTCTTTGTTTTTTGTTGTTGGTGGTGGTGGTTTGTTTTTAGATGGAGTTTCACTCTTGTAGCCCAGGCTGGAGTGCACTGGCACAATCTCGGCTCACTGCAGCCTCTGCCTCCTGGGTTCAAGCGATTCTTCTGCCTCAGCCTTCCGAGTAGCTGGGATTACAGGCACCTGCCACCATGTCCAGCTAATTTTTTCTGTATTTTTAGTAGAGATGGGGTTTCACCATATTGGTCAGGCTGGTCTCAAACCCCTGACCTCAGGTGATCCGCCTGCCTCAGCCTCCCAAAGTGCTGGGATTACAGGAGTGAGCCACTGCGCCCAGCCCAAACTTCTAGACAACTCTGACCATCACAAGCCCCAGCCAAACAGTTTTCATTCTCTTCTGAAAATGCCCTGTCTCTCTTCGGCTTGCATTCACTCCTGTTCTCTCCGAGTTCTCCAGCCACCCCTCTCCCTGACCTTGACCTTCCTACCTCTTCCTGTCCGTGTGGCCGGGCTGAACCGAGTGGCTGCTGTGGCCACTCTGCCCAGGGACCCCTCTCTGAGCATGGCTCTCCGCTCAGCACATGGCCCTTCGCGAGTGCAGCCTCTCAGTGTCATTCTCTCTCCTGGACCCGGTTTCCTTCCGTTCCAGAGCTTCCTGACCCAAAACGCACCCTGTGCTCCGCTGGAGCCTGTGTGTACAGAGCTTTAAGAAGCTACCACTGTAGACCACAGCCTGCTCCAGGTGATGGGGCTGATGGAAGGAGCCCCACCATTTCCATTGCTGGCCCGACACCCAGGTGAGAACTTTGCGCCCCGGGCAGGGATGCTCACCTGTATCCGGCCAGGATGTTCATCAGCGTGGATTTCCCTGCCCCGGAAGGACCCATAATGGCCACCAGCTCACCACTGTTGAACTTGCCAGAAATTCCTTTCAGAAGGGTCTTGTATCCTGCAAGAAGCAGATCACATGCATGTTCATTTCATTTTGTTTGATCTCCGATGCAGTAAATATGCAAATGTTGAAGCACACGTGACTGAGGCCGAAGTAGCCTTCGACGTCCCGGAGCAGAAAAGGCTGCATTCCAGGGAAGAACGTACACTTCGTGTCTTTTTAACTCCCTGGTCTACGTCTTCAATTGCACTTCACGGGTTATAGTAATGATAATCATTGCCAGCATGTGTGTAATGCTTTAGGCTTACAAAGCACCTCCCCACTCATTGTCTAGTGTATGAGGAATCCAGCATTCCCATCTCAGAGTGAGGAAGCGATGGCCAGTGGGCCGGGGTGACCTGCCCAGGTTCTCAGCCCAGAGCTGCCCCGTTACCAGTTTGCTCCCACACCGATATGGTACGTGTGTCTGTATTAATTAATAATTCACTTATTGCATCTACAAATTATTTATGCTTTATATATTTATATAAGTATACATTATGTATATATGATTTATTTATAATCAACATATAATTAAATAATCAATATATTATTAATCTCAATTAATAATTAAGAAAGTTTGTCATTTTGCAGCCACACCAAATTGCTTTGGAATTTCTGCCAAGTCTCCATCTGAGAGCTTTATAAACGGGGAGAAGCTACACATCCCAAGCAAAGCCACATTAATGTTTTCTCAAATAGACTGTTTAAATGTGCTGTAAATAATGAAACAGAAGCAGCTGGGTGCATAGATAATGCATCCCAACCCAGCACTTCTTAGTGCAGTATCAGATCAGAATGCACCCTTACATAATCAAGAATCGTGTGAATGCAATTTTGGCTCCCACACATTTCAAAATACCTAAAGAGACAGGGACCCATGGGGTCCTTGGCCCAGTCCCTTGTTTTCTCCCAGTCACCAACGGGGCACCCAAACCTGTGTGTTTGTGAGAGTCTGGCCCAGGGGAGTTTGCTCCCTGCTGTCTTCCTGTCTTTCATAGATAGGACACCGGAAAATGCCAACCTGTCACCAGGCGCCACCTTAATTTGGATGTGGAGTCCCTAAGGCCTTGTTTAGGGGAGCGAGAGAGCTGCAGAACCAGCCAGGAAGCTTGCTGTGCTGGCACTGAGAATCATTACAGAGAGGGCGGCTGTCGCCCCAGGGAGGGCCAGGAGAGCCATCCCGGCGGGGGAAAAGCACAGGAAGAAAGGGCCGGGGCCGGAGAGCAGCTCAGAACTGCAGATGAACCAGCTGGTACCACAGGGCTGTGGATGACATTGTTTACAAACACGCAGCACTTGAGACCTGAACAAGTGAGCAGGGCCGGAGGAGGGCCGGGGGCCCCAAGAACAGCTCTTCTGCTGAGCCACGGGTGACCCTTGGTGGACAGGCAGATGGAAGAGCTGGGACCACAGAGACCCTTCCTCCACAGGAGCAAGCTCCCCAGCCACAGAGTGCTGCAGCACTTTGGGGACCCGGGCCCCTGATATCACCAAGAAAGCACTACATGCTGGGTACCTGCTAATGAGTGTCTCTCGTCTATTCAGGGCAGAAGTGGAGCTGCTCCCCAGCAGACCTCCCTCAGGCTGTGTCCTCTCAGTTATGAGCCTCCTGAAGGCGCCCGGTCATGGTGCTCACCGGCAGCCATCCACTGCCCGTGGTCATGACACCCACGAGGGCACTTCATGCCTTGGGCTCTGAGAAGCCTCTCTCCCTCTATCCCTCTGCCCACCTCTCCTGCTGGGCACAGCCTCTGGGCTCTCACCTTTGACAGTGCCTGGGGCTGACCCCCAGTGCTGGGGTCCACTGGTGGGGTCCAGACCACCACCCTGGCTGGAGGAAGCCTACACAGGCTGTGATGACCCCCAGGACCCCAGGAACAGGACAGGGCGGGGAGGCTGGGAGCATTCAGCCCTCTCATGGGAAAGGTAGGACAGGTGGTCTCAGGTTGGCCTTGCTGTTGAGAGCCACCAAACTGGAATTGCGAGAATATGCACCAGACAAAGAGGGCATGCGACTGGGCTGCAGGGTCCCCTCCACCGGGCCTCATGGGTCCAGCCATGGACACAGGACCCAGTTTGAGGCTGTACTACTCTAACATTACAAACCTGGTTTCCTTTCTTTTTTCTTTTTTTTAAAAAGACATGCATTTGGGATTTAAGGATCTTCAAAGTGGCTCTGGAAACAAAGTCCAGTAGACATTAGTCTGCCCTGCTATGGGACAGCTGGGTGCGACAGCGACCTTGTGCAGGCCTAAAAGTGAGTCCCGGGCTGAGGGGAGCAGGAAGCACAGTCAGAGCCTTCCCGTCATTGTTGGGTTTCCTGAGTACCCAGGGTGCACGCATGCACACACACACACAAACACAAACACACACACACAGACGCACACACACAGATGCACATACACAAACACACACACACCCCTCTGCATTTATGTAAGGAAATCATTCTCCTGCACAGCCCTGCACTTGCTTCCCCTTACAGAAATAGAAAAGGAAGATGGGACCATCCCACCCCCTCGCCCGCCCTACTTTCCTGCCCCTGAGTTCTGTGCAGCCTGCTTGCTGGCATCCTGGACATGCACCAGCCTCCCTGTCCTTGTGGGCTCTCGTTTTCCCGCCCCTGAGTTCTGTGCAGCCTGCTTGCTGGCACCCTGGACATGTGCCCACCTCCCTGTCCTTGTGGACTCTCGTTCACAGGGGGCACTGTCTTACACTGTTTTTCTGGCTGGGATCGTGAGCGCCCAGGATAACAAGCACAGAAACTGCCAGAGCCAGGGCCACTGAAGCCCTATCAGCCCCGTGCAGGGTGCCCAGTTTCAACATTTGAAACAGCCAGATGCTAGCCCAGACCAGAGCTTAGACAGGACCCAGACCAGACCAGACAGAACTCAGATCAGACCCAGAGAGAATCCAGACAGAACCCAGACCAGGCATATATGGAACTCAGACCAGATTCGGACCAGACCCAGACCAGGCCTAGACGGAACCCAGACTAAGCCCACACAGAACTCAGACCAGGCCCACACAGAACCCAAACCAGAACAACAAATCCCAGAAAGAACCCAGACCAGACCCAGACAGAACCCAGATTAGACCCAGACGGAACCCGGCCAGCCTCTGTGAGCCTGGGTGGGAGGAGGGGTCGGCTGCCCACTGATGTTTAACCAGTGCCTGTGTCCCGGTCTTCCCTGCGCTAACCCTAACGTCTTATCAATTGCTATGCTGTTTCTGAGCAGTGCCTGCTAAGAAGAAATCATGCAACTGAATCTCTTTTTTAGGGACATAAATTCATAGTCAATTAATCGAAGCAAAAAAGCCATAAGTTCAACCAGAACCAGCTGGGAAATGGAAAGAAATGGGAGGCGAGGGCCATGGAGAGCCAGAGGAGAGAATGGGGTCTGACAGGACCCGGCACCAGACACCTGCTTGGCAACTGATTCCCTCAGTGACACCGGCAGGCTACGTTTCTTCTTGGGTCCTGATGTCAACATTTGTAAAAACAGGGAACAGGAGAAGATGATTTCTAGTGTCCTCGACCCTAGAAAGGAAGAAAGTGCTCTATGAGCCTGTGAAATTCCTCTCTCCCTAACACAAAATGTGGGAGCTTAGCGAAGGGCACAACCAGCCTTGTGCCCAGGGCCATGGCTATCCCCAGAGGACAGCGATGGAAGGATGACAGAAGAGTGATCCCAATGGGTGGGGATGGACTGTCCTGAAGCCGCACACCTACATAACCAGAGAGGAACACAGGGGACATTCCAAAGAGAGCCCACAGAGTCTACTCTGGCCCTTTTACGGTTCATTTTCTAAGATGGTGCATACTTGGGAGAGACGGGGCAAGAGCGTGGTGGTCCTTCAGGGCTACTGACTATAAAAGAAGCAGTGGCAGCACCTTGATCCCAAACCCTTCCCATCAGACTCACCTTGGCTGAATTTCATGCTGCAATTCACAACAAATGCACTGTCACAGCAAAACCAACAGCGACCCCGCTGATGGAGGCGGAAAGATGGTGTGACGCTGTCCCGCTTGGGAATAAGGCCTTAACGAGTGAGCACCACCAAGCTGGCTCTGGTCCCGAGGAGCTGGCCAAAGGGCCCAAGCGCTGAGCCCCCGAAGCCCCTCACATAGAGACTCCAGAAGAAGGTGGCTCCGAGGAGCCCACTCAGACCTGACTAGTCAAGGGGAGTGGTGTGGGCCCAGACTGACCGGGGAGCCTAGCACCCTGACACCCACTGCCTGCCACCACGGGCAAATCCATGTGAGCCCATGGCCTCAGGGCCAGAGATGGAGTCCTGGTGTTGTCAAGGCTTCCCAAGACCCAACCCTCCCCGTGCACGTGCCCCCAGGCAAGACCCTGAGAGAGCTCCCCAGAGCACACCAACCAGCACCCCAAACAGCACTCCTCTGTCCCACCTCTCCAGGTTCTCCCCCTCCCCATGTGGCCATCTCTCCCCCACCTCCTTCCCTCTCTCCTCTGTCTCCTTCTCTCCTCTCTCCCTCTCCTCCCTCCCTCCCTTTCTCTCTCTTTCTCTCTACCTTCTCTCTCGCGCTCTTCCCCTTTTCTTTGCCAGTGTCCTCTGAGAAGTAGGAACATCACCTTTCCATCTGTAAACATTTCGCCCTGGTCCAGTGCAGATACTCAGGTGCTGCTGAATGGATGGATGGATGGATGGACGGATGGATGGATAGATGGATGGATGAATGAATGGATAAGCAGATGAGTGGATGGATGGATGAGTGGATGGATGGATGGATGGATGAACAGATGAATGGATGGATGAATGAATGGATAGGCAGATGAGTGGATGGATGGATGAGTGGATGAATGGATGGACAGATAAACAGGTGAATGGATGGATGAATAGATGAATGAATGGATGGATAAATTGATGGATGGATGAATGGATGGATGGATGGACAGATGAGTGGATGGATGGATACATGGATGGACAGATGAATGGATGGATGAATGAATGGATAGGCAGATGAGTGGATGGATGGATGAGTGGATGGATGGATGGATGGATGGATGAACAGATGAATGGATGGATGAATGAATGGATAGGCAGATGAGTGGATGGATGAATGAGTGGATGAATGGATGGACAGATGAACAGGTGAATGGATGGATGAATAGATGAATGAATGGATGGATAAATTGATGGATGGATGAATGGATGGATGGATGGACAGATGAATGGATGGATGGATGGATGGACAGATGAATGGATGGATGGATGAGTAGATGAATGGATGGATAGATGAACAGATGAATGGATAGATGAATAGATGAATGAATGGATGGATAAGTTGATGGATGGATGGATTGATGGATGGATGGACAGACAGATGGGTAGATGGACAGATGTTTAAAAAGCATTCAGATGAAGCATTTAGTAATGTTTAAAATTAAGTGAATACTGAAGAGTTTCCTGAGTTATGCCCT